TGATGCATTAGACCCTAATGACCGAAGACTAGAAGAGTTGTGAGATGACTTAAGTACATCATACAGGAAGAAACTAAAAGGTTATTGAAACACATTAAAGAAAGAAAAGGTCAAAATTGATGTGAGAATCAACTTTGAAATTTGTTCTCCAAGGAAGACATGGTAAAATGAATGAAAGAATTGAGAAAGGCAAAGACATGAACAGAAAATTTCAAATGGCAGTTTGAGTAAAGTATTATAGTGGTAGGTGTAAAGACCTGGAGTTAGAAAGACAAAAGGGAAGAACACACTCACCATTTCTCAAATAGAAAGAAATGAAAATAAATAAATAAATAAATAAATTCAAGCCTTGATTTGAAACATTGAAGGATTCCATGGTATAATAACGAATGATGCAGAAAGCATCAAAAGAGGATGGAAGGAATACACAGAGTCACTGTACACTGTACCAAAAAGAAATGGTTAATATTCAGTCATTTCTCGAGGTAGCATATGAGTAAGAACTAATGGTACTTAAGGTAGCAGTCTAAGCTGTACTAAACGTGGTGGTAAAAAACAAGGCTCCAGGAACTGTACAGAATACAAATGGAAACCTTTCAACAAACTAGTGAAACACTTGAGGCTCTCACTCATCTAGCTAAAATATTTGGAAGATAGCTACCTGGCCAATCAAGAAATCCATATTTGTGACCATTCCAAAGAAAAGTGTTGCAGTGGTATGCAAAAATCATCAAACAATGCCATTAGTACCACATGCAAGTAAATTTTTGCTATAGAGAATTCAAAAATAGCTGCCACAGTAAATTGACAGAGAACTGTCAGGAATTAATGCTGGATTCAAAAGAGGACCTAGAACTAGGGATTTTGTTGCTGATGTCCGATGGATATTGGCTGAATGCAGAGAGTACCAGAAAGATGTTTACTTGTGTTTTGTTGACTGTGCAAAGGCTTTTGATTGTGTGGATCATGACAAGTTATGGACAATATTTCAAAGTATGAGTATTCTGGAACATATAATTGTGCTCATGAGGAACCTGTACATAAACCAAGAGGCAGTTGTTCGAATAGAACTAAGGAATACTGAATGGTTTAGAATTAGGAAAGTTGTGTGCCAGGGTTGTATTCTTTCAGCACACTTATTCAATCTATATGCTGAACAAATAATTTGAGAACTTGGATTATATGAAATAAAACATGGTATCAGGATTGGAGGAAGTCTCATTAACAATCTGCGATCTCCAGATGATACAACCTTGCTTGCTGAAAGGGAAGAGGACTTAAAATACTTTCTGATGAAGATCAAAAACAATAGCCTTTGATATTAATTGCATCTCAATGTAAAGAGAACAAAAAATCCTTACCACTGGACCAATAACCAGCACTCATATAAATGGAGACAATATTGAAGTTGTCAAAGACTTCATTTTGCTTGGATTAGCCATCAACACTCTTGAATGCAGCAGTCAAGAAAACAAAGGACATACTGCATTAGGCAAATCTTCTGCACAAGACCTCTTTATAATGTTGAAGAGAAAACATATCAGTTTTAGGACTAAGTTGTGCCTGACCCAAGCCCTGGTGTTTTCAATAACCTCATATGCATGTGAAAGTTAGACAATAAAAATGGAAGGCTGTAGAATAAATGATTCATTTTAGTTCTGATGTTGGAGGAGAATATTTAAAGTACCATGGATTGCGTAGTACCATGGAAAAAGCACAGCCTTATGTGCTCCTTGGAAGCCAGGATGGCCAAACTTCATGTGTCATACTTCAGACATATTATCAGAAAGGTTCAGTCACTGGATAAGGATATCATGTTTGGTAAAGTGGAGGGTCAGAGAAAAAAGGGGAAGTCCCACAACAAGATGGATTGGCACAATGGGGACAGCAAAGGGCTCAGGCACAGAAACAATTGTGTGGTTGGAACAGGACAGGCAGTGTTTCATTCTGTTGTACATAGGGCTGCTATGAGTTGGTATCTACTCTATGGCATATAACAACAACAAATTTTAGAATGACGTTCATGATAACAGGTATAACTCTCCTGAAAGTAAAGCACACTCTGAAGATGATTCCTGCTTATATTACATTTGTGTGATGATTCATGCTTATATTACATGTGTGTGATTCATTATATGATATGTACATTGATTCAGAGGAAGAAAACACATCTTCAGTACCTACAGGTGACAAAGCTTATTTAAATTTTATCAGGTATAGTCATCAAAGAACAAGATTTTCCCAATGTCTGAACTAGTTCCGGAGAGAGAATGTAATTCTTTTGGAAAGTGCTATTACTTCCAAATGAATATCTTTGTGTATGACAACAAAAGATGTCAACTGGTGAATGAGAATGTACCAACAGCTATATTTGGAATTGTTGTTAAGTACTGTCAAATTGGTTCTAGCTCATAGCGACCCTTTATGGGATTATGTAGGAGTGGTTGGTGAGCTTGAACTGCCAACCTTGCATTTCAAACAGAACTTGCAGTCTAGAGCATTGGTTCTGTTTTAATCCATCTTCCCAGAAACAGACCTTAAGACTTTTGAGATGTTTATGCAGGAGGTTTATTGGGGTGTGCTCTCAGGCTGGAGATACAATTGCTCCCTGATGCAACTGCAAGCAGAAACTCAACTGACCTCATTGGTAGCTTTGAAGCTGGAATGAAATGTCACAGTTGTCCTGAATTGAAAGAGACTAGGATGCTAGGTCTTTCTGCCCTGACATCACCATATTTTAAATCTCTGAAAAGCATTTTCCATTATCAGGCATTTTTCTTTTCCATCTATTTATCATCTGTCTAGCTCTGCTTTTTCTCCTCAACCAGACTTTAAGTTTTATAAAAGCGTAACTTGTCATCTTGGCCTGCATGTTAAAGTAACTCCTAGAGCTCTGTTAGTGTAGCCGTTATGAGTTGGGCTGCTAACCTCAAGGTCAGCAGTTTGAAACTATTAGCCATTCAAAGGGAGAAAGAGGAGACTTTCTGCTTCTGTAAAGATTTACAGTCTCCGAACCCTATACAAGGTCGCTATGAGTCAGAACTGACTCCACAGCACACTACCACCACCACCCGAGCAGTACAGGCCTGTTGGGAGCAGCTGAGCCAAAGTTCCCTGACTTGGGGTAGTTTGACAGAAGGATTGCAACTGAAGAGTTGTGGTCCAGAAACTCAGGTTGCATCCAAGTCAAGCTTTCCTCTGCCGCCCCCCACCCCTCCACCCCCGGAACTTGCAGGGCTGCCTCAGGGGACAGGGATCTTGCAAGGTCTTTCCTTGTATTTAGCTTGCCCTATGGTCAGCCTACGCAACATTCTAGCTGCTCTATCAGTGTTCCAGCTAGCTACCACAAGTCACAGTTTTTCTGACAAAGTTTCATTTACTGCTGGCTCCTTCAGTACAGGGTGTTCTTTTACTCCTTACCCTTGAGCTGTGAATACAATAAACTCGCTGCCTTCGCAGGAGTATCTCCATCAGAGTGCTGCGTCCCACCTGGTCCTATTTTTACTTATTTCACTGTGTCTTGTGTCTTCCTTTTATTTCTAATCTCCTGTCACCCCTACTCAGGTTTAATCTCTCTTCGTCAGTCATAGCTGATTGTCGCTCGGCACAGACCCATAGTAGGTACTCAATAAAACTGTTAAAATGACTAATTCCTACCCTCCGAATGTTAACCAGTCTGGTTTTGTAGTTACTATAAATGAAACGTTAAATGGAGTTGATATAAAACAAAGGCGATGCTATAAGACAGTATATGCTAAAATGCTTAATAAACTTTTTACCACAAAGTATGAAAGAAAGATGACACCTCATAGTATTGTTAATCACAGTGTACCAGTGAGACTGCACTTTCTAAAAGTCAGTTTTGACAAAGAGAGGGAAGAAGTCAAAGAATGAGTAAGCAAAGAAAGAAGAAAAAAGGAAATTGTCTTCCTTAAATATCGGTGTGGAACAAAAAAGTGTATGCTTGTGGTAGTTGGGGTAGGGTGGAGTGAGGGGCCACCAACTGTCATGGAATACTTAGTCTTTGATCTCCAAACCACTCAGAGAGGTTTGTTCTGCAAAGCTGCTAAAATAGGCCAGGCCTGATGGATACAAGGGTATGCTTAGCTTCTTGAGGCCATTTGTTTTTCTAAACCTCTTCTTTCCTTTTAAAAGCTGGCAAGTGTTAGTAATCTTCAACTCCGCAGGAACCCACAAATGTGCACGTGTGTGGCTCAGCTGGCTTCGGATCTGGCCCCGCCCTGGTCTTTAGGAGATCACTGGCACTGATGACACTCAGACCAGGCAACCACGGAGCACTTCTGGACTTTGCTTTGCTTTTTCCCCACCCGGGAAAGGCAGGCTCAGGCTCAGGCTCAGACTCAGACTCAGACTCCGCCTCCTCATAGTGGGGACGCCTCCGCGGCGCAGTGCCAGAGCCCAGCGCAGGAAGAAAGTTTTGGAGTGCAGAGGAGAGTTTCGAAGAGCAGCTGCGCGGGCCACTGGAGAAAGCAAACAAGAACAAAGAGGTCTCCACTCCAAGTTTGTACGTCGGTCGCTGAGTCTCAGGGGCTCCCGCCCAGCGGCGCACTGCAGCGATTAGACTCCTGATCCCTGGGAGGAATGAGACTCCTGGTCAGGATCCGAGGCGGGCGCTAGAACTCGGCTTGAGGTCGCAGAGGAACTTCTCTCTCGGAGCTGTCGCTGTGGGCCTCATTGTCTGCTGGAACTCTCCGGAATCGAGAGGGGGAGGACTGGATCTCGCTTCCACTGGGATTCGTCAAGAGTTCCGGTGGCAGCTGCAGCGGTTGCGGAGACTCTCTTTGTCCTCCTAGGACCTCCCTCCTTTTTTCCTCTCCCTCCTTCCCTCCCTCTGTCACTCCGTGGGTTCCTTTGCCCCAGGCGCCAGTGCCCTGGGCCCTTGCAGGCGCCCACCCTAGGCTGCATCCCTGGTGACTTCGCCACCTTCGCGTCTCCAACCAGCCGAACCGAGAAGGGAGCCTCAGGCCCTTGGCCACAGTATGGTGGCGGGGAGGCTCCGGGCCCGCAGCCCACTAAGCTGGCTGTTCCCTGGGCTGTGGCTGCTGGCGCTCAGCGGTTCTGGGTGGCTACTGCGCGCCCAGGAGCAACCCTCCTGCAGAGGAGCCTTTGATCTTTACTTCGTCCTAGACAAGTGAGTGTCGGAGGAGGTCCAGGCTCTCTCGGAGAGGGCGGCACCTGATCAGCTAGGGACACTTAAGGATGGCTGTGTGCATCCTGGGGAAGGTGTTGGAAAGCATTAATAGGGGTCCCGTTGCTGTCTGAATTTAGGGCTAGCACTTTCTGATCTGTAAGGGTTAAGGATAAGATAGAGGAGGGTGGTAGGAGGTACCCCAGGACAACTTGGCTTCTGGGTGGTAGGGTATTCACTACTTGCCAGTCGTGGGGACTCTTAGAAAGTGGAAGTGTGACCGTCTGGGTAGTATTTTGCATCCTAGAAACCGAAACAGTGTTCTTTTTCTGCCCCTCTGTCTTCTCGCCCACCCCACCCCTTTCCCCAGGTAAACTAAAGTGTGTCTGGTTTTCCTCTAGTCATACCTCTTTCTTTCTAGCTAGGAAAAGCCTGGGTTTAACACTCACTGTGGTCTGTCTTTTCTAAGAAAGATTTTTATATGAGCAGGCAGGTTGACAACCTCCCACCCCTAAAATGGGACTGACTTCCTTGGCTCTTATAACACCTAAGCTTTAGTCATAGACCTCTTTACTTAGCTTGAAGAAAGTTGCCCCCATCTCCACTGGTGTTGTAGAAGGAACCAGTTTGAAATGTTTATAATTTGGGCCGTTTTTTGTTTTTCTAATCAGTTCAATTTCATTTTTCAGGTCTGGGAGTGTGGCAAATAATTGGATTGAAATTTTCAAGTTTGTCCAGCAACTTACTGAGAGATTTATAAGGTATATTTTCCCACTTTGCTTTTCTAGACAGGGAAGCTTGAGGTGGAGAGGTAGTAAACCTAAATTCAGAAGATTTGCAGGGAAATCTCTCCTGAAATGTTGATATTTAAAGTTCCTAAAGGTTGACTGTTGCACACAGCCTTTGAGTTTTTGATGGCTTATTTCATCTGGATTCCATAAATTTGGCTCAGGTTCTGGGGAAGCATCTTCAAATACTATCCCAAATGTCTTTTCCTTTCCAAATTTTCATCTGTTTTGAATTTCAGTTATACTTTCTCATAATTTATCACATTGAAAAATAAATTTATTCTAATAGTATCCATAATATAGTACCGCACAATTCATAAATTTTGTAGAGGTCCATATTTAAAAAAAAAAAAAAAAAAAAGTGTTAGAAAACTTAAAATGAGCATGTGTTAATAACCCACTACCAGAAAAGGCACTGTGTGTGTTTAAAGAAATGATTTGTGTTTATATAATGTGTGGGTGTGTGGCTGGTTTAAAATTTAACTGTTCTATAAAAGCTATATGGAGCCTGGTTGCACAGAGGTTAAGCATTTGGTTGCTGACTGAAAGGTTGGCAAGTTGAACCCACCAGCAGATCCTCAGGATAGAGATGTGGCCATCTGCACCCATACAGATTATAGTCATGAAAACCCATTGGGGGCAGTTCTACTCTGTTCTATAGTGTCACTAGGGGTCAGAATCAACCTGATGACAACAGGTTTAGTGTTGTTTTTTTTTTTTTTGTTGTTATATATTTAGTAAGTTTCCCTAGGAAATATCGGTTTTCCCTCCTAACAAAACTCCTGACAGCTATGAAATCCACATACTCTCTTATTTGGAGGTAACTAGGAATTAGTGGTGTCTCTTATTTAAAAATAGCTCCAGCAAACTAATATTTTGAGGATGGTTTGTTTGCTTTCTTTTTAAGTAGAAAAGAAAAGTACAAGGGGCAAATATAAATTTCTCAAGATAATGGAAAGGACACAAGTAGGAGCTGTATTATTAAATATTGCTTCCTTCAGTCTTGTTAGCCCAAATGTTTTCTGTAAAACAGGCTGGGATGATCAAAACATTTTGAAAGTCGTGTTGCAAGTAACTTCAAACAATCTGTAGAGGCCTATGCAATTCTTACTCTCCATTATTGGCAGTAGTAAACTTATCCCTATAAAAATGTATGCTTGTTCATCTTCAGTTCTCAGCCCACTGCTTTTATCAATATATAAATAAACATATAACACTTTATTTCTGGACATGGTCTAAGGTAAAACTGCCTAGGAAAGAAAAACCATCTATTCAGGTATTTAAGACCCTATATTCTTAAATACCAGAAGAGAACTTTTGAATACAAAGTTTATAAAATCTCTGAGTATGTGGGGAGTATCATGGCGGTTTTCATTGTAAGCAATTGCTCATTTCCACATCTTAAAGAAACGGAGTTCTTTTTTATTCCAAAAGAACTTATTTGTAAATTGGAATCTTATAAAACACAGATGTCTGTTTCAAGTTTAATTTACTTGGTTACTAACAACATATACAAAGGGGCTCTACATAAGAAAATACCTTATACAATTTGATGAGTCTTTGAGACAATTCTGACCTTCAGTTTAATTTCTGACAATTACTCTTAGTTTCAGTTCTTAGTAAATGGTTACATAGTGTGTTCTAGAAATAAGGACCGCTTTTGTGAGATATTTGTTCCAAAGCTTGAGAGATGTTGCTGACTATTGCAGTTGTCAGTTGGAAATATATGGTGATTGAGACTTGGGAAATTGAAATTGTATAAGCAAGATGTGCTTTATTAGTTTATTATACAATTTCCATGATGCTTTTTATATATTCTTATTTCAAGATGACTTTTGCAAAGGCTTATGTCATAATTGTAGTAATTAAGCCAAACGGGCTGCCCTTCAGCCCTGTGTGCGTATTGTTGATGACAACCACTATGCTGTTGTTATTAAGTGCTGTCAAGTTGATTCTGACCCTTAGTGAAGTGACCCAGTATAGAGTTTCCAAGGAATGACTGTTGAGTTTGAACCACTGACCTTGTGGTTCAAGCCCACCTTGCCTTCCTGCACTTATCCTACAGTGCCACAGCAGTACTCCTATAGTATCTCCTAAAGGAAAGGTCTGCTGCCTCTGGGACACACTTTAGAACACCAAAGGAAGAAACATTTTTACACAAGACCTTCACATTGGCCTAGGATTTATCATTCCAGTTAAGGATCCCTGGTGGCACTCAGCTGCTAAATGATAGGGCTCAATAGGATAAAGGAGTTGGTGGTCTGCTTTCATGAAAATATCAACCTAGGAAACCCTATGGGGAAGTTTTACTCTGCCATGTAGGGTTACTTTGAGGTGTGATTCATTCGATGCACACAACAACAACAGTCTCTTCCTAAGTGCAAATCTTTATAGGTCATTGGGGAGTGTATTTTGGAAGCATTGACTAATAAATCCAAGATGATTTATACAGATAGTAATGAAACAGAGTTATATTTACTTAGAGAATTTCATTTAAAAGAAGCCTGGGTCATTCGATGAAACCCATTTAAAATGAAACTCCCTAGCTACATGTCTATATCACATCAATATTGGTTTTAAAAATGTTTTAACTGCCTATTTCTTTATTTTGCAGCCCTCAAATGAGATTATCTTTCATTGTGTTTTCTTCTCAAGCCACCATTATTTTGCCATTAACTGGAGACAGGTTAGTACATTATCATTTCACTGCAGGCTTTTAGTAGAAACAAATCTTCAAGGAATGACTGCTGTTTCCAAGTGGGGATTCAGGTCTCTCAGTGGAATCAAGTAAATGCACTGACAATTCTGCCTTCTTCACTAATAGAGAGGAAAGGAGGTATGAGTAAGACAAAAGAGCAGATAATCTTAAAACCAGTATGATTTTCATTGGCTTTGAAATGTACAAAGAAACCAAGATTCCTGACTTACTTGCTTATCCACTACTTTCCACCTTTTCCCATGCCTGTTACTGCAAGTAGTTCTATATATAGTTCTTGTTTAGATATATTAATCTATCAGGAATTTGAAGTACACTGGGAAGGGAAAAAGATGGTCTGTGTGGATAATTTACTGAATTCAAAAGACATCTGGATCTCCAGTTTTACTCTGAGGTCCACTGATTCTGAGTATATTTGTATTTCTATAGAAAATCAAAAGGCTCTTGCTTCCTATTTAATTGTATCTTTATTCTCTCTCTCTCTCACTAATGCTTTTAAAAAAGTATAGCTTTTCAAACCTACATCACAGTGTTTCAGATGATCATGTTGTTTAAACCCATGTGGCAAGTTGAAATTAGTCATTGACATATTTTAAAAGGTAGCTGCTTTCTATAGCATCAATTATGCTTACTAAACTGAGTTTCGTAGTCAGGGGAATGTTGTCTTATTCAGTTTTCTATCTTTTTTTTTTTTTTTTTTTAAACACAAAGTGTGTGAGATAGCAGTTGCTCAATAACTTCCTATTGAATGAATTAATGATTTAGTATGATTTCGAACCTAAGTTTCTCCAGTTTTCAATGTTAGTGATGGGGACTGATACATATTGCTTTGCATATATGGATTTCTAAAAGGTTGCATATCAATGCAGTTTTCATAAATGGATTGTTTCCCTTAAAAATATCAATCTGGGACATGATTTAAAGGTCCTCATGGAGAGAATTCGTTTGTAATTCACAGAATTTTGCGGGGGAGATTTTCTGTTTATCTGCCTGCTAATTTGTGCTTTAGCTTTTTCTGGAGAGAAAAATGCTCTGAAGCTGGGGTAGACCAACCTAGGCCCTCAGTCTTTCAATTGACTCCTCTGCTTCATACATGTGCCTATCAGGGGTCAGAGAAATAGTAGTCCCTTACAACGTAGCATAGTGGTTACAAATCGGGCTGCGAACCTCAAAGTTGGCAGTTTGAAACTACCAGCTGCTCCGCGGGAGAAAGATGAGGCGTTCTGCTCCCATAAAGATTTACAGCCTCGGAAACCCCGTATAGGGTCTCTATGAGTCGGAACTGACTCTACAGCACATAACAACAACAACACATATATAACTGTTTTCTACGTTCACTGCTCTAAGAAAATATTCTTGCATGGATGAGAAGAAATGGTCTCTGCTGAGCTAATTTTCCAGTTTGGATGCAGGCTAGATATTAGGAGAAAAAGAGAACAATCTATTATTATGGCATATTCATATACATGTGATCAATTAGCATGGTAACAGACAAAAAGTTGACTTTCAGTAATTGTCATCTGCATGTATTATACCAGGCCCATTGCTAGGTACTTTGCATTTGGGTCCTGTAACACTTTGAAGATGTGATTTAGTCAGTGGTCAACCAGATTCGTATGGCTTGGACATGTATTAAAAGGGTCTAAGTCTTCAATCTCAGTTAGTGATTCTTCCCTTCTATCTGGTTGGATTTAATAGGAGAAAGACTAGAATGGCGCAGTGGAGTTTTCTCTTTTAAAAGGCAACATTATGTTGTAATAAAGATGCCATTGAGTCGATTTCAACTCATAACGACCCTTTTTAGGGTTTCCGAGGAGAGGCTGGTGAGTCGGCCTTTGGGTTCAAACTGACCTTCCTGTCCAGTGCTTATCCTGCCCCTGAACTAAGTCTACCTGAGTTTATATCCCAGCTCTATAATTTATTGGACTTCTGGTGTGGCACTGTATGATCAGCACTGGACTGCAAACTTCAAGGTCAGTGGTTCAAACCTACCAGCTGCTTCTTGCAAACCCTATACAAAGTCACTATGAATTGGAACTGACTTGATGACACTTAACAACAATAACAATTTGTTAGACAAATGGTCATGGCAAAGGTATTTATTTATCCTTTTATACCACAGTTTTTTTTCTGCCTCTTTAATGATGATTATAAAGATGGTAATGATAATAGTATCTACTACATAAGGTTGTTGGAATGATTGAAGTTAATGAATGTGGAGGATGTATGACAGAGCTTGGCACGTAAGCCTCCAGTATGTAAAAGTTTTATTATTGTTGTTGTTAATACTATCTGGGTTTAAAAAATATGTAGGAGCCTCTGGGTGGCAAAAAGGATTAAGCATTCCACTAACTGAAAGGTTGGGTTTTCAAATGCATCTGGAAGCACTTTGGAAGATAGTCCTGGCAATCTTCTGAAAGGTCATAGACTTGCAAACCCTATGGGGCAGTTCTACTCTGCACACATGGGTTCCCACGAGTTGGAATTGACTCAGCAGCAGCTAACAACAACAGAGAATATGCAGTATTTTGATGATCAGGGAAAATTAGCCTTGTGTTAAGGGATTATTGTCCTATTAGGAAGGATTTCTAATATTCCAGGAAGAATTTACATAATTTGCAGATTGTTTTGTACATAACCAGCTTCACTGTCTCCTTCTACATAGTAATACATCTAGTTTTAATAGATTTCACTATTTGTGGTATGTTTAGTTAATTTGCTATGGTAGAAAGTACACTAAATAAGTCCAGGGTTTCAGTTTTGCGACATTCTGATTTGGTGACATGGGGGCAAGTCATCTACTCAATGTCAGTATTCATGTTTAAAAATCTGCCATGTGTTCTTTATAGAGTTCCTCTGAAAATCAAAATAAGACACTGCCTTGAAAAACACTTTGGATATCATAGAACCATCTTCAGTGAAATCTTCTACATTGTAATGTTAGTTGTTGTTGTTAGGTGCTATCGTGTAAGTACCATAATGTTAGTAGTCTTATTTAATTGAATTAGTAATGCCTCACATTTCTATGGTATATTCATATAGAATCACTTTTCATCCATTTCAAACTTTTAAGTAAGTGTGTGGGAACAATTTGTATCTTTAGATGCCAGACCATGGAGCAAACACTTTAACAACTATTACAGATCTTTGTCTCAAAGTCTAGAAATTGGAATTCTACATGTAAACTCTCTTCATGTCATATTTCCCACTTACAAGTAAGTCTGAATACATGAGAAAAAGCAAATGTTAAGCAAAGAGAAGTAAAAAGCAAAGGATAAGCAAAACAAGTTTAACAGTTTTCATTCTATGACTCATAATTCTTCAGTACCTTGGTAAATATGAAGAGTACCTTGTTCATGTTTTTTACAGTGTTGCTAAAGATTTTCAGTCAAGATGAGGCAAGATTATAAGATTTACCACAGGGACATGTCTTTGTAACACTTTTAGCATGGTATTTAGCATTATGTAGATGCTAATACACATAACAAGAGATTATCAGATAAACTTTTATATCCTCATTATACTTTAATATTTCAAATATTTTATTTGAAACATTCCTTTTTTGTTTCCCCTCTTGCTCCCATGATTTTTATCTTTCAAATGTCTGTTAGTGTATGCATTCACCTAACTATCTGCCTTCCATCAGTATCTGTTATATATTGAACAATGTGACCTCTTGGAAAAATACAAAGAGGAGGAATCCAGTGTGGTGGAGGGTGGAAGGGAGGTCTATAATCCACTCACCAAATCCTCATCTACAACATCGTGTACCATGGACTCACTCAGCTAACCTTCTTTACATTAGAACTTTTGGTTTTTCTTGCCCCAGATCTTTCACTGACTGGCTTTCTCTTGTCATCAGCTCCATCTCATGTATTACTGTTCCATCTGTGTGAGAGTTCCTCCCTGGCCACCAAATCCAAAGGAATTCCTCCTGCACCCAAGTAGTGTCTTCTTGTTGTTAGGTGCTGTTGAGTTGGTACTGACTTATAGTGATCTTAGGCATAACAGAATGAAACTCTCCCTGTTCCTGCACCAATCTCATAGTCATTGCTACATTCGAATGTGGTGGCTGGTGTGTTGCTGTGATTCTGGACACTATGCCACTGGTATTTTAAATACCAGCAAAGGTCACCCATGGTGATCTGGTTTCAGCTGAGCTTCCAGACTTAGACAGACTAGGAAGACGGAGTGACAGGCTAATTTTGAAAACCTTATGAATAGCAGTGGAGCACTGTCAGTAATGTTTTGTTGTTGTTAATGTGCCGTGGAGTCGGTTCCGACTCATAGTGACCCTGTACAGGGTTTCCGAGGCTATAAATCTTTACAGGAGCAGAAATCTTCATCTTTCTCCCGTGGAACAGCTGGTAGTTTCGAACTGCTGACCTTGAGGTTGGCAGTCCTACGGATAACCACTATGCTACCAGAGTACCTTTGGAGTGACTTTAAAAGAGGGGAGAGACATCATAGTTTAATTTTTATCCATCTGGGTTGTTTAAATAGTCCCTGGCTGGTGCAAATGGTTAAAACACTTGACTGCTAACCGATAGATTGGAGTTTTGAGTTCCCCCTTGAAAGAAAGGTCTAGTAATTTATTGTCTAAATAAAGTCAGCCTTTGAAAACCCTATAGAGCATAGTTCTACTTTACACAGATGGGGTCCCCTAAATTGGCAACAATTCAATGGCAACTGGTATTGTTAACATAAATGCAAAAAGCAGGTGACTTGAACAACTGGACATTTATTTTCTTACAGTGTAGAAGACTAGAATTCTGAGTTCAGGTGCTGGTTCTAGCAGAAGGCTTTTTCTGTCAGGTCTGGAGGAAGCTTTTTGTCTCTTTTGAGCTTCAGTTCCTTGATGATCTTCATGTGACTTGGCATGTTCTTCTGCCTGCTTGGTTTCTCTTATGCTTGTTTAATCTTTCTTATTTCCCAGCGTGGTGCTATTGGGTAAGCATTGGACTGCAAAC